AACATGTTGCTTAAGCTTTTAATTAGTAAATCTACATGCATCCGAAGTGAGCATTGTGTGCTTTACATATGAAGGAATATTACATGCAAAAGAAATGATCTGCCATCCACAACCCCTGTATAGCTATATGTATAATGCAGAAATTTGAATAATAAAATAAAGTGTGGTTTACCATCACCTAAGTACAAGCAGAAAGCATTGTGTGCTAAAATACTTCCATAACAAATAAACTTTTAAGTGGAAGATAACCTATAAATTCCACAGGAAAAAAGAAGTGCTCATAATTTCGGTGGCAGTTGGCATCATCTCATATTCTTGGTACTAATTCCCTTTTCTACATATCATATCAATATATCATGTGATTTTGTCTCTCCCATTCTTACCAGAGAAAGTGACTGCTATTCTGATTTTTCTTGCTTACTTAAATATATTTCAGATATGAACATTTCATTATGTCAATTCTAAAATCAAATCAAATTCATATTAAGCTCATTAAATGTTACATCACCTATTAATGTATTCTTAATAAACTACAATGATACAGTGCCTACAATGACTGTTAGAACAAGTAATCTTCATTAATAATGTCTTGAAAATCAACTGCCACTGAAATTTTCATGCAAAGCCTTAACTGAAAAGAAAATAATAAGAACTCACCAAATTCGGAGACCCTGGATTCATCTCTATAAGCCTGGGGTTCCTGGACATCAGTTGCAAGTCCATCAGCAGTAGTAGGAGGTGCAGCAGTGGAGACTGGTGAGACAGATTGCTTTTTGAGTTCTTCGGGCATGGATGGAGGTTCACCTGCAGGCTCAGCTGGAACTGAGCCCTCCCTGGCAGCAAATACCTCAGTCACTAGCTGCTCAGCAAATTTCTGGGCTTTGTGGCGGAATGTCTGTGTCATGTCCTCAAACTGGTGGCTAACTACCTCTGAAATAATATGTTACATTTTTTTAAATATCAGTTAATTATCAGTTCAGGAACTGTCAAAATGCAATTCCAATATCATAACTTTTAATAATACTGGACTACCAACAGCATAATTATACTAAAAATAATAAGCAAAAAGTTTATCTTCTACTTACTCTGTGCAGACTTAGCATATTTTTTATCAATGCCAGTTTTGGTTGGTGATAAAGGCTGTGTAAATGCTTCTGGTTCTGTTTCAGTATCTGTAGTATGAGAAATGTGAGGATGGTGTCTATTTTCATCTTCCAGATCAAATGGCTTGAATTCCACTTTAGGGAACCGGGGTATGGAGTACTCTTCCAAGGACTCACGTCTTTCCCTTCTTGGTATATCTGAAAGTTCCACCACTGGACGTGGAGGACCTTCAAATTGAGGGGGTTGATCAAACTTGGAAGGAGGAGATGGATCCCTGCCTGAAGATTCACTTCGTCGCTTGCCAGGATCCCCAGCAGGAGGTGCAACTCGTCTGTACATTGGCTCTTCCCCTTCACTATCAGGAGGAAGCCACTTGGGAGCAATAGGCCTGCTGTCATAATCACTTTCATAGTCACTGCCTCTAAACTCTCCTTTGAAGAATTTCTTTGGCTGCGGTGGTGGAGGACCTCTTTCACGTTTAGGTCTGTGTGGCTCTGGTTCATAGGGGAATGGTTCTAATTTAGGGAACTGCTTCCCTTTTCCTGATTCTGTATCTGTTTTTTCAAGCTCTGACTCAGATACAAAGTCATATATATCTGTAATATCAATATCAATCTGGAAACCTTTCTTAGCTTCAATCTTTTTCTTAATCATTCGAATGTGGGCATCCTCTTCTTCCTGAACTAAAGTTGCTGTTCCACCTTCAACATATCCAATTTCAGGTTGCGGTCCTGGCTCGGGTAGAGGAGGAGATGGCACTTTGGGCTTTTCTGGCTCTTCCTGTTTTACCTTTATTGAAGGAGCTTTTGGAACCACCTTTGGAGTCTTACTCACTTTCTTTTCCTCTATCTTTGGAATGATGATTTCTGGAGATGTTTCCTTAAATGCTTGCACGAGAGGCTGATCTACAGGTTTAATTACTGGCCTCAATGGTTCACCTAATGTAGGCGGGACATCAAATTTAGATGGAGGAGTTGGAGTTCGTTCTCTGCTCTTAGAAATTGTTCGTTCTCTGGGTGGAGGAGGTCTGACTGGTGTGTATTCTGGGTCTTCTACATCACTGTCTGCTGGTTTCCACTTTGGCTTTAGTCTTCCTTCATAATCACTTTCATAATCACTCTCCCTAAACTCTCCCTTATAAAACTTTTTAGGTTTTGGTGGGGGTGGGCCTCTCTCTTTCTTAGGTTTTGGCTCCTCTACTGTGAATGGAAATGGTTCCAGGTCCATGAGCCTTTCAGTTTCAACAACCACTTGCTCTTCTTCAACTGGGGGAGGAGGTCTTTCTGGAACTTGCTCATAATCAGTTTCAGTGGTTATTTTTCTTTCCATTTTCTCCTTCTTCATTCTCATTTCCTCTTCCAGCTTAATATCAGTGAAAGTTTTCTCTGTTCTTTCAATAATTTTTGTATATGGCTTTTCTTCATAAGTTTGTACTTCTTGCATTGGAGGAGGCAAAATTCTTGACTTTACATCTACTTTATCAACTACATACTCTGTTTGCTGAATAATGACCCCTTCTTCTGGTGGAGTCCCTGGAGGAGGCAGCTCTGGTGATACTGGACGTTCAGGAAGTTTTTCAGTAGACTTTGTAGCTTTTACAACAACTTTCCTTTGTATTTCCTTTTTAGGTACATCCTTGGGGATAAGGATTTCAGGGCTTGGAACAATCTCTGCAGTAATTTCAACCTTCTCAACAGATGGACGCCAAGGTCCTTCTTCTGGTGGAACATCAAAAACTGTAGGAGGAGTTGGTGTTCTCTCCCTTGTTTTTGAGGGTGTCCTGTCAGATCTTAACTGTGGCTTTACTTTTGTGTAGTTTGGCTCTTCTGCATCACTGTCAGGTGGTTGCCATTTTGGTCGGATACGACTTTCATAGTCACTTTCATAGTCACTGCCAGTAAATTCACCTTTCTGGAACTTTTTAGGTTTTGGTGGTGGTGCACCCCTATCTTTCTTTGGCTTTGGTGGATCAGGAGTGAATGGGAAAGGTTCTAAAGCTGGTAGTGGTTCCCTTTTAGGTTCTTCTCTCTTTGTAGACCTTGACTTCCTTTCAGACGATGATGCTTGTTGACTTTCAGTTGAAGTTGTTGCAGTCCTAGAATCAGTAAACTTTATAACTCTAGTTGTTTGCTGCATAGTAACAAAGCGTTTGTGATAAGCACTAGAGTCTGCTATCTTTGTTATCTTTGTTGACTCAACTCCAATTGCATTTGAAAATGGTGACTCCTTTGGCTTGGATTCAGCATAAAGTTCTTCAGGAGGAGTACCAGGCTGCAAAACAGGTGATGGTGACCTAGGTGGAGGCTCTCTTTTAGGTGGTTCTTTTTTAGGAAATTCCTTTTTAGGTGGCTGTGACCTGAAAAGTTTAGGCTCTTTTGGTGCAACTTTTGGTGGTTCAGGAGGAGCTACATACTCTACCTTCTCTGGAATGACTATCTCTGGTGACACATCCCGTTCTGGTTCAGTTTCGGATTCAGGAAAATCTATTTTAGGCCTTGCTGGTCCTTCAAATTGTGGTGGCTGATCAAAAGCTGATGGAGGTGTTGGTGTTCTCACATGTGGCTGTGACACTTTGCTTTTCCCAAGTGGTGGCTGGACTTTTCCATAAACATTTTCTTCAGCATCACTGTCTGCAGGTTTCCATTTAGGTGCTATTTTTCCTTCATAATCACTATCATAGTCACTCTCATGGAATTCCCCCTTTTTAAACTTGCTTGGATGAGAAGGTGGCTGTCCTCTCGGCTTCTTCGGTTTCTCTGGGTCAGGCTCAAATGGGAAAGGTTTCAAATCCAATTCTATCTTTTCTTTTTCTTGGATAGTGACTGCCTGTTTTACAAGACCAGTAGATTTTAATGGTTCAATTTTGGGGACCTTTAAAGGTGCTTTCACATCCTTTTCAGGCTCTGTTTTTAGACTCACCTTTTTCACTGGCTTAATGACTTGCTGTGGTAAGTCCTGTTTTTCTGATGTAAATGATTCCTTTACTAAATGCTCCTTACATTCAGTAACTGATGATATTTTTATTTCTTTTTCACTTGTTTTTGTCTCTGCTACAGGTGTAGACTTCACTTTTGGTTCTGAAGTAGGAACAGGGGCAGATGTCTCAGCAGGTCTTGCATCTTGAATTGCTTTCACTTCATGTTTCTGTTCCATTTTCACCACTTGCTTTTTCTTGGGTTTTGGTGTGACATCAACACTTGTGCTTTCAAAGACCTCAACCTTCTTGTCAGACATTACTTCTACATGTGTTTCACTCTTCATCTCAACTTTCTTCTTAGTTCTTCGCCCTTCAGTAGAAATATCACTCTCATCCTTCATGGCATAATAAGTGTCTTCAGAGTAAGGACCTGATTTCCCTGGGTGTCCATGAGTTTCTCTTCTGAACTCTTCATATTTTGGTTTCTTTTCTTCTTTAGTTGGTTTAGTTTCTGGAGTGGGTTTCGTACCTGGGGCTCCTCCACGCCTTTCCTCATGGACCTCTTCTGACCTGCTAGTAAACATCTGTAAGAAAAGAATGGCAGCCAACATTTAGGAGAATATATTGCTGACTCAGAAAACATTTTTGGTTTAGGGCAAGAGTTCTGATGAAATTTCTGAAAGTGCTCTTAAATAAGAATTTTTGGTACCAAACTTTAGTAGAATAAGTATGTTATTCATTTGGTCAACACTTGCTCAAGGCAATTAAATCTAATTTAGTATAAAAAAAAAATCATCAACATATCCAATTATGATACAGAATCGAGAAAGCATCATGATCCAGGTAAGTTCACAAGGTTGTGCTTTATAAGGAATTCATTCACCTAGGCCTAACTGAGACCTGTATTTTTCCTGAGGTACTTACAAGGATGGGAACTGCTCATGGCACATCACACTGTCTGATCAAATCACATCAGATGGTAAACAAATGGAAAGAACAGGAAGGAAACAAAAGAAAGATAACCCAAGAACAATAGAGAATGCACATGTCACAGGGATTATATAGCATCACTATGTATTTAGTATAAAATATTAATTGGTTACAGCCAGGCGAGCACAGTGATGGAGAGAAACTCACACAATCTCATTTACAGGGAGAAACAAACTTACTTAAAATCTCACGTTTTTTTGCATCAATTGCAGTTTAGCTTGGGAAATGACCATAGTTTTTTAACCTGTCCAGGAAGAAAATTGCATTAGAAAAGAATAATGGTTTGAAAGGCGCATTGTATGCCCAATATGCAGGTTCTGACGCTCATGCTGAAGTAAATGCATGCCATTATGAAGAGGAAGAAGTAAATAAAGAGAAAGAACAAAGTTAAAGAGACAAGAAGGCTACATAAATATGACCCTGGGTTAGACGTTATTAGTGATATCGAGAGCTAACACTGCTAACTGCAGAGTGATGCTACACTATGGTCAACGAGCGCTAGAAAGCGCCAGGGGAAATCTATTTTACGAACCTGGGAAGATTTACTTTCAGATGACTTGAATGTACTGGAGAAGTGCGAGGTCTGACCTACTGAAGAGGCAGGAGTTGAGGGAAAGGAAAAGGTACCTGGGGCACTACCAGAAGGGAAACCAGGGGGGAATGAGGTTGAAGTGGGTTGGCCACTAAATTCAGAACTGGAGAAACTTTTGCTTTCACTCTTTGAAAACGATGATGACATGAATGATTCACTTTTGGAAAATGAACTAGAGCTAAAGCTTGATGAATTTGATTGTACAGTCTTTCCATGGCGACGTGGTAAGGTGCCTTCTGTATCTGCTGCATAGCCACTCTCTTCCAACTCCTGAACAGTCTTCTGAACAGTTTCTGTCTTTTTACGAGACTTTGGTGATGCAGGTTTTGTCTTCACAGAACCTTGTGCTGAAGATGTTTTTTCAGTCCCACTGCTTTCCTGTGATATGGGAACTACTCTCTCAGAAGTTGGCTGTGTTGGTATATCAACATGCTCAATATAGTCAGAGGTTAGAACTGGGGTTTCACTTAATGGACCACCACGTATAGGTGATGGAGACTGTATCCTTGAATGACGACTTAGTGTTGGTGTAACACTTTTTGGTGTTGGACCACCAGCTTCTTCAAATTTCTTTCTCATACCTACAACACCAACATTTTCTGTTACATGCTCCTCTACCAGTGTTTTTTGAATGTGAGTCTGTTCTTTTTGTGTGGCTGTTTGTGATGGAGCAACAGTAACTGTTTTGGGTGCTACTGCTGATACTTTAGGCCCAACCTGTGGAACAATGCTCTGGGCTGGTGCTACTTTAGGAAATACAGCTGGAGTCTTTGGTTTAACAGGCTGTGGAGCTACCTTTTGTATTGACTTCTGCTCAGGTGTTATCTGTGATGCAAGAAGTTTAACAGTCTGCACTATATGCTTACTTTGGATTCTACCAGCTTCTGGCACTGGTGTTGATTCCTTTGAAGTTGGAATATCAGATTCAACATCTGAGAAAAGGTACCCAGGAGGAGGAAGGGTATCAAGTGATGGTGGGGGACCAAAAGCAGAAGGAGGTGGAGGGGATGGCTGCTTTGATTTCTTGGACCTTCCTTTCTTCATTTTAATGTTCATTGGTTTATATCCAACAGCCTCACTGTCACTCATGTATAGTCTTGATAAAGAGCCTGGTACAGAGTCATAATCACTTTCATATTCACTTTCTGTGAATGAGCCAGGAATAAACTTCCTGGGGATAGATGGAGCTCTTCCCCTTGGTTTCTTTTCCTTTTCTGGCTCTAAAGTGAATGGGAAGGGTTCCAAAGGAGGAAGTTGAATAATAGGTGAGGTGACAGAACCTTCTCTTGTAGGGACTTTAGACCTCATAGTAATATCCTTTGTTGGTTGTTTCTTCTTTGAATCTGAAGGGAGAACAAGGCCTTGTTTAGGCGCAATGGTTACTGGCTTTGTTTGGACCACAGGCTGCATAGGTGTAATTACAAGAGGAGTTGGGCCTGGTATTGTATCCTTCTTTTCCAGAGTTGTTTTTGAAATATGCTGGGATGTTTGAGTTATCTCTTCCTGAGTTGTTCTGCTTGTAGATTCTCTTACGGATGAGGTGGTGATAGTCTGGGTCTGAGGCATTGGTTGTGGTGGCCATGACAACCTCTTTTCTTTAACAGTGATGTTGCTTGACCAATACACAGATGGTGGGGCTTCATGTGGCCTAGCAGGTAAAACTTGAGGCTCAGTCACAGGTGGTCTTTCTAATGAATGAGAACGTGTTCTTAGTAATGGCACTGCCTTTGGTACTTCCATTTCTTGCACCTTAGGAGGCCACTTCTCATTTATCTTTCCAGCTGTGGATCTGATCATTTTCTCTTTAAAGGAGGATTTGACTTCTGTCTTAACAACAGTCTTCTTTACAGGTTCTTGTACTGGTTTTGGTGGTGTTTTGGGAACAGGTGCTACTGTAGGCAAAGATGGTATAGTAACAGGTTCTGGCTTTGGTGTGATAACAGGTGCTGGCTTTGGTGTGGTAACAGGTGCTGGCTTTGGTGCAGTAATGGGTGCTGGCTTTGGTGAACAGTGTTGGCTTTGGTGTAGTAACAGGTACTGGCTTTGGTGTTGTAACAGGTGTTGGCTTTGCCACAGGTTCTGGGGATATTACTAAATCAAATGGAGGTGGCGGAGCTGGTGTTGATTTTGCTGGAGTTTGGCCTCGCTTTGGTGTTGGTGCACGTACTGAACGGAAACCAGGTAAAGCTACATCTGGTGACATACCAGGAACTATTGGAGTGGGTTCTGGAGATATGATTTGGACAGGTTCTGGAGATATGATAGGAGCAGGTTCTGGAGATGTGACAGGAGCTGGTTCTGGATGTGAAACTGTTTTTGGCTTAGGAACTGGCAAAGGTTGTGGTTTTGGTTCAACATATGCTTGAGCAGGCTCAGGTTTGGGTTCAACATACACTGGAGCAGGCTCTGGTGTAGGTTCAACATACACAGGAGCAGGCTCAGGGGTTCAACATACACTGGAGCAGGCTCTGGTGTAGGTTCAACATACACAGGAGCAGGCTCAGGTTCGATATACACAGGAGCAGGTTCAGGTTCAATATACACAGGGGCAGGCTCAGGTGCAGGTTCAACATACACTGGAGCAGTTTCAGGTTCAATGTACACAGGGGCAGGCTCAGGCTCAGGTGTAGGTTCAACATACACTGGAGCAGGCTGTGGTGTAGGTTCAACATACACTGGAGCTGGCTCAGGTTCAATATACACAGGAGCAGGCTCAGGTGTAGGTTCAACATATACAGGAGCAGGCTCAGGTTCAATATATACTGGGGCAGGCTCAGGTGTAGGTTCAACATACACAGGAGCAGGCTCAGGTGAAATATATACTGGAGTAGGTTCTGGTTCTGGAATATGAGCTGATGGTGCTTCTGATTTTGGAATAAAAGTAGGCTCTACCATTGGAACTATAACTGTAGCAGGTTTAGTTTCCGACATGTACGACTGAGTAGACACTTTAGACTCCTGTTTCATAACTTTGGTTTCCCGTTTCTGGAAAGACATGGAAGTTTCCTGAGAACTAATTTCAGAGAAAGAGGATATCATATTTTTCACTGATCTTCCTCCCATTGGAGATTCCTGATATGCTGGTTCCCCTTCTTCAGGTTTAGGAGGCCATTGCTTCATTAGTTTTCCTTGTGGTTCCACAGTCTTTTCCTCCACTTTCTTTGTTGGTTCTGGGGCTGGTGGCACAGGTTTCTCTATCTTAGGTTTTTCAAGCTTTGGTTCAGGTATAACTATTGGTTTTATCGGTTTTACTTTTTGATCTGCCTTTTCTACAGGTACTATTGTTGGAGGAGGAATAGTTTCCTTCTTTAGCTTTCTTGGCACTGGTTTTATTATCTCTTGTTCCCCTTCAACTCCAGTGGCTGCAAAGAACTTTTCCACTATCTTGGGCTTTATTTTTGGAGTAACAGATTTTTTTGCCTTGACAATTTCTTCCTCTTTTTTAAGCACTTCAGGTCTCATGCCACCTTCAAACACAGGGGGAGTATCAAAAGCCCATGGTGGAAGAGGGTCACGACCAACTGAATGTGGCCTGGCAACCTGTTTCCCCGTAGCATCAAATTTAATTTTCTTTAAATGTAGCCGGTGTTCACTTTCCATGTCACTTTCATATTCACTATAGTCACTGTCTGTAAAAGTACCAGGAATAAATTTCCTAGGAATGGGTGGTGGCAAACTTCTTGGTCTTTCTCTCCTAGTTGGTTCTTGGGGTTGGAAAGGTAATGGTTCAAGTTGTGGGAATTTCTCTGGTTTAAACTCAATAGTCATAATCTCTTCAATGGTGGGGGTTGCTCTAGCAGATGATGTTTCCCGCGTTGGTGTTGGTGTCTCGCGAACAGGTGTTGATGGCTGCTTGGGACTTGGGAACATGCGAATTCCACCTGGTACTTCATCAGGTGACATTGGTACAATTGTTTCTTCCAATCTCTTTGCAATTTGAATGACTGATTCTCGTTTCTTTTTAGGTTTCTTTTGCTCCTTCAAATCATCACGTTCTGGAGCTTTTGGAGGCTTTACTGGTTCATCTATACTTGACTTTCTTTCAGGCATTATGAGAGGAGTAAGTGGTTTCTTTGGTTCTTTCACAACATTTTCATATGGTTGAAGAGGCATCTGAGAAAACATCCTAGTCTGCACATCTGATGATGTAACAAACATGGTCTTTGTTTCAGAAGACATTGAAGAGAAAGACATCTGGGACATTGAACTAAAATCTGATTGCACCTTACTTTCAAATGTGCCAGATTCAATTTTTGATTGCCATGACTTAGCTGGAGCTTCCATTACAGGCTCAGCAATGACTTCAGGTAATGAGGGCTTAGTATCAATTTTAACTGGTTCAGGCTGTGGACTAGGTTCCTTACGAGCAGGTAATGGAGATGGTACAAATTCAATCACCTGTTCACTTTCTGGGACAAAATACTCAATAGTATCCTCACCCTGCTGTACTTCTATGACTGCCTCAGAAACAGTAGGTTCAGGCATTACATTAGAAGCTACTGGCTCTAACACAACTTCCTCAGGCTCTACAAGTTTATGAGGTTCTGGCACATCTGCTTCTATTAATGAACTTTGAGTCACATGCTCTGGTTCCAATTCTTGAACCACTGGTTCTGTAATTTCCGACTCTGAAACAAAATCAGGAACTTCATACTTAGGGATAGGCTCTGGAACAGGCTCTTCCACCTTATTAACAACTGGTACTGTTGAAATGTCAAAGGTCTCTGAAACTACAGGTTCAGGTACAATGGGTTCTTTATCTACCAGTTTTGGAACAGCTGGCTCTGGAATTACTTCAGCTACTGCTGGCTGTGGATACTCTTGATCCAGAACAGGCTCTTGAACAAAGGACTCAGGAACAATGGGTTTTTCAACTACAGATTCTGACACAGATTCTTCCAGAGGAGGACTTGTTATTCCAGTTGTATATACTTTGGTTTCTACTGTTGAATAACTGGATGATGAAACAGATTTTTTTGTTTCATAAAATGTTGATTCACTTGAAGTTACTTCTGTTTTTACTTCTCTTATTACTCTGGGTTCAAATTCAGCTGCATTTGGATTTAATTTTGATATCTTAGTTTCTTCTACTGAATCAATTGGTTCAAGTTCTGGAACCTCTAGTTCTTCCGTACACTCTTCTACAGGTTTTGGCTTGAGACTGATAACAACTGAAGGTTCTGGTATTACTTCAGGAACAGGAGACACAAGCTTAATTTCTTCCTCTTTAGGTGTTTGTTCTGGTAAATTTTCTGTAATTAAGCTAACTTCTGGTTCATGAGTTACAACTACTTCCTCTTGTTGCACCGGCTCTGGTTCATGAATATGCTCGATTCTATATTCAATTTCTGGCTCTGGTACTACTTCTGGTTCATGCTGCATTACAACTTCTTCATAAATAGGTTCTGGTTCAGGAATCAGTACTGGTTCGTCAGGAAGAATAACTTTTGTTTTTTCTGGCTCTGCTTCTTGACTTACAGTCATTTCTGTATCACTTACATATCCATATACTGGTTCAGGCTCAGGCTCAAGGTAGATATCTGGCTCAGCAGGTGCTTTGGGTTTTGGAAGAGGTTTAGGGGCAGGCTTTGGCTTACTTGGTACAGCAGGAGATTGAGTTTCCATTGCAGAGAAAGAAGATATAAGGGAAGACACACTTTTACTAACTATCTCAACGTTTGTATCCATCCGTGTTGGATATTCAAGCTCATCCTCTGAAGGCACTGGTGGCCATGCCTTTTTCAGTTTCCCTGGAGGCCTTCTCACCTCCTCCTCTGCTTCACTTGCAGTCTCAGATGGTGATTGGTGCAAGGGAACTGGGGGTGCTGGGAGAGATGGTGGGGGAACAATTGGGGATTTGACGGGAGCTTTGGGAGGGGCTTTAAACATTTTAACAGGAGAGGTAGGGGATGGTGCCTCAACTGCTACTTCCTCTATTGCTCGCTTTATTGTTTTCACATGTCCTTCTTCCATAGACTCACTTTTTCTCTGTATAGTAGGAAGATGAAAAAGGATAGATAACAGTTTGCCCTCCACCAAAGTAAAATTAGAAACAAGATATATACAAAATGCAATCGTGTGTAAGTGCAGAAATATCCATTTTTTATATCCCAAACCAAAACTGCATGTGAAAAGAGTAAAAGCATAAAACTTTGCAAGTAAGAGCAAAAGGAGAAATTGAAAATGTGATTGCCATCTATCAGTGCTAATAAAAACCAAGAGGATTACTGAAAACAATAATCCAGATATTTGGAATCTATTCTGGAGTCATTAGTATTAAAATAATGACAGACATACTAATATATATTATTCTAGGATAAATGGTTTTATTATCACATAATGATATACCAACATGACTGATATAGCACCATGTACAGTACCTTTGGTAACTTGGTTGTTTCTCTGTATTGTCCTTAATTTACAAATGACTCCAGACTGTCTTCCTTTGAAATGTCATGAGTAGAGAAGTTATAATATAAGTGAAATAAGAAAAATTCCATCACCATCTGCATTATAACTCTGCCATATCCTTTTTTAGAACCAGCAAATCAAACATGGCAAGATCTGTACAGTCCACTATTTAGCACAACAGGATGTTTATATACAATGTTGTGCCACTATAAATGGATTCTGGTATGCGATCATCCATGCTCAATTCCAGTTATGTATGTACAGAGAAGCATAGTAATAAAAGAAAATATGGAAATCATCTTTACCTTAGTTTCATCAGTTACATCAGTAAATACAATCTTGTGTGTTTGAGATGTCTCATCTATAATCAGTTGTGTCACCATAACATCTGCAAGAGTCTCCGCCCGACCAGCTGGGTTGGTAGCAATAGCACCATACCGACCAGAATCATCTAATTGAGCTGTGGAAAATTTGGTTATCCAGTAAAATATACAAAGTACATAGTCTATAGAAAATAAGATGTTTTTGTTATAAACATCTATTCATTCTAGAGAAACTCTTAAAACAGCTTTAGGATATCAAAAACTACTATCAAGAATGCGCAGATACCTATCACATCTAGTACTGACAAGTGGTATCTATTATATACCTTCCTGGATGATGAGAAGGTGTCGAGTACCCTCAGAGCGCTGAGTTAAGCGATCACTTGCAGTAAGTGCTTGACCATCCTTTGTCCATGAAACTTCAGGTAAGGGGGTACCAGTCACATCAATCTCCATGTGTAGTCGTTCGTTTACACCCACCACAACAGGTTGCAGCCTTTTCGATATCACTGGTGGGAACTGTTTTTCTGTTGAATGGAAATATAAACCAAGCTAAGTATCCCATCCCCATAGGATTATTATATTAAGTGTAAGTAATAGAGGACAAACAGTCTAGTTCTTGAATAATATAGTGTCTACACTTTTGGTTATAATATAATTTTGAAATAATTCCAAATAGTTTTAAATTCCACAACTGTTACACACATGAACCACCGAGCATCTAATGGTTTACATGCATCTTTCATTTCTAAAAGGACTGGCTAAAGTCTCTGATTTTTTATGAAAGTCTAAATAATACAAAAGTCATTCATCTGTAAATAGTATTTTATGAATGTTTTCACATACTTAAAAATTCAGAATGCATCTTTTTCATTACCTTTTTAACATTAACACGAACAAAGGAACTTACTCTTGATTATAACATCACAGGTGCACTGGGCAGAGCCACCTTCATTCTGTATGAAACAGGTGTAATGTCCACTATGTCCTTGGTTGACCCTGGGGATGGTCAGTGAAGTTTTGTTTAACTGAGTCTTAACTTGAATATCATCCTTAAGAGGTCCATCATTATGGGTCCATGTCACAGATGGGTCTGGATAACCTGTAAAGTAAGAAGAAATTGTTTAATTGCAAAATAATTTCTGATTTGTCATTTCTAATCTTTATTACAATAGTGGTCACTTTGCTAATCTTTATTACAATATTAGTCATTTTGCTAATCTTTATTACAATAGTGGTCGTTTTGCTGTTGTACCTACATATTTCCATATAAAAAAAAAAAATTCTTAAATGTAAACTGAATACACAGTCTTAACAAAATTTGCACATCAGTGAACTATGAAGGAAGTGCTCAAAGTGTATTTTCTAAAAATATAAAATAAACTACTATAAATTACCATCAATTGTGCTTTCCAGAACAATTCGGTCATCCTCTTTGGCAATGATACTCTGAAGAGGTGTGATGAATCTTGCAGGGGCAGCCTTCCTCTTGCCTGTTGCAAATTTCTTTGGAGGAGGAGTGATGGAAACGGTGCCAGAATCTTGGCTCACCTGCTGGACCACTTTGTCACCCTCAATCTTTACCATGCTTACCTGGGTAAAAAAAAATAAGTGTTGAAATTTGGCTGTATTTGAGATATTCAACTTCATGAGAAAGATTAATCAAAACAATTACAATACTGTGCCACTAAATCTTACTTTATCACTGACCACGGCTGGTGCAATTCCATCTTGCTTCACCTCCTGGAAATGTGCTTTGTGAACCTAAAAACACACAAAAAAAAAATGCTTAAAAAAATATGTGGAAAATTATTCCATTTCAACAAGTAAATGACTGAAAGGAATGTATACCCCTACTCTAGTATGAATCTTACATATCATGAACTCATCATCAAAAATGCATTTTTTTCGAAACTGCAACATCAAAAACAAGAAATCACCTCTGTTGCTGGCTGTCCAGAGACCTTCTTGACCTGTGAAGTGGAGGCTGCAGACATGCTATGCTTCTTCTCATCCATGCTTCCTCCACTACTCATGACAACCTTGGTTATGTGGCTGGTTTCCATTCTGCTGGTTTGTTGGAACATGGTTGAGGATGATGTTGTGGATGAGGTGTAGCTCTCCTCCCTCACATGATGCTGCGGTTTCCCTTGGGGCTCCATGGCTGCTGGTTTTGCTACTACTGTTGGTGGATCTGAAATAACAAAGAAACTATTCAGTTTCACAATTTCAATTTCATTCTAAACTGAAGCCAGTATGACTAAATTCTAATTCAATCTGCAAATAATTTTCCGTTCCCTAACTTGCTCAACATTCAATTTTAAGTAATTTATGAATCTAAGATTACCTCTCCTATACCAAATGAACCCTCTATGGTCTCTGTACCTATGTCAGTAACCAATGTTCATTGACTATCCAAAGTACTCACTGCATCAGTTAAACTCTTCATGAAATGATAAATCTCTTGTTAATTTTATCATACTACCCTACATTAGTTTAGCTATTCTGAAAAAGCGGGAGGGCCCTGATTCGCGTTTTGTATTTAATCACTTATTGTCAACCCAACCTTAACATCATCATAAATAATTTTGGTAATTTCCTCAAACATCCACTTTTACTTGGAATACTTGACATACTTTGATAAGATTTAACATTTGTATATAAGAGGTTTTTATACTTTACCTTCAAGGTTACTAAATCACAGAGCATAATATTTTAGCCCAGATGAAAAACGGCAGGATTGTTTTCTATTTGCATCTGAATTCTCTTAGAAAGTGTTGCTATGTAACTGAATACTGTCTCTACATTTGTTTTCGAAGGCAGCAGTGGGATAAGGGGGGGGGGGGAGAAGGATCAATTACTAGAGGCAAAAAGATTCGGGTAAAATGCAAATTTATACTCCACTGATTTTACGTAACTAGCTTCTGTATATAGATATATAATACATTTGTGTTTAAAATACCGATAGAACCCGACTATACTTTATAATAAGAACACATAAGCATTCACTATTCGCACCAATACAAATACAAATTTCCAATTGGTGAAATGTTCTAGATATTACCTTACCAATTATTTCATAATACTGTAATTAAATGTGATCCTCTCATAAAATTGAACTCACCCTAATTGCGGAGTTTCTTCAACTAGCTAAAATATGTGTGTGAATTGCAACGTTCCTACAGCAGCCACGTGTCTCCCCTGGCGCACTCAGTCACTTGGTCCCATACTTGAGAATACCGATTCGAAATAATAGTATGCTCTGTCATGATTGACTAATAAGTCACTTCTGATTAAGTACTCAAGTTTCCGATCATTTCACCTATTCCATACTTAATTTTCCAAGCTGTATCGCGTCGATCGATCGGTCGTTCAGTCGAACATATTGGCGATTTAGGGTTGGCCACGAAAATAATTTGTTACTATGCATTAGCCGTTTCCGAATCTTTTGACAAATCTGTTTCATTTTCTTTTAATCTTACATATCATGATACTCTTGTGTTCAATATACACAATGAATAGCACACTATATTCTCGTCAGTCCAACATTTTTCAAAAAGAGCTTATTTTTTTCAATAAAACTACTATTCGTTTACGACATAAGGATGGTGAGGTGTAAGCTGATGCCGCCGAGGCAGGTCATCTGGCTGCCAAGGAAAGATCTGCGGTAACTGTCATTTATCAGTCATTACGTCACAGTGCACTTGAATCACACTCCAATCTAGTTGCCAGTCTAGCTCCGCCCCTTGTCCAAAGTCCTGTGGCCAACCCGACAGGTCAAGACGAGGTTAAAGGTAAACGAGGTTAGCTTTCCCGTCCACAGGTTGCGAGCCGCACTTCTAACCTGCATCCAGACGGTTCCCCTCCACTCGAACCGCGACACGCCCTCACTTCACCCACTCTCCCTGGCCCACCCTCCTCCTCATGCCCCTTTTTGGTAAACTGGGGAGGCTGCGGATAATTACTTTACCATGCTTTTTTTCTGCCCGTTTCTAAATCAAGGACTGGATAGAATTACCAATCTCGGAAATCAACACTTTCTTGTACTGAAGCGTAGAATATAAAGATCAAATGACTACGAAAAAATATTATTTCTGATTCTACCGGCACAACCTCCCCGTACCCCGCATATGATTCACCAGTAAGCCGGGAGTGGAAATTCGAAAAAAATATATAACTAAGATGGCTGCCAGGAATAAATGAGCGAGAGGTTGTGTACATTGGGGCACCGTGAATTTCTATGAGTGATTTCCCTACGTGTTAAACAAACATGTGAAGAGAGGCGCTGTAAATACGCCTTGACTTAATTTTGTTACATTGTTCGCAAAAAAACACCATGCACCTGGTCTGTTCATCTTGTTGGGAAAAAATAATCTTTTGCGTATGAGAAACATTCCATGAGGTAACTTTTTTAATACCTGATAATTCTCCTAATTGCAAAGAGTTTCTGGTATCGAATCAAGGGAGGGTTAAAGGCCCACCGTGTACCTAATAATACAAGCTGTTTACATGGACGGTCAACATCCTCTTCACCGGCACCTGAAGATGACTGACTCGTGTATTTATAGTCTCGAGAATTTTTACTTGAACTATATCAACCGCCTGATGTGCCATCGCCACAAGCTCTAGCACCAGCTGGTCGCTAGTGCATAAGGTTCACCACTCGGTGTCTCACCAAAGACGGAAATCACCACTCGTCTTCCGACTCTAGACTGCCAGGGGCATAATTTTTATTCTTTACCGATAGAAAGAGCGTCAGAGGTGCTATCCATCAATATACCAATACAATATAAGAATCATATTAACAACTACTTTTTGATATTAACACGAGTATGGCAAAGGTTAATGAAGACACGAGGTAAAACATGGTAAAGATAAATTTCTCAGGATTTCCTACATACTTTGCCGTGTCTTCTTAAGGTTTCTGATATGCTTTTGCCAACATAAACTGTTATCTGCATTTCTGTTAAACTGACAGCCTTTTTTTTTGACGCTTTGCCTGAATCTAAATTTAAGACTCCTCATACATTGATTTATTTTCCAATTTACAGGCACTAGCTACGGCCTGTACAAAAGACGTACAAAAAATGTAATATCTGGCCTATAAATATAAAACTGTATCCCGCACATGTTTACGGAAGTTATGTCAGGCATCCAACTTCCTCTCCGCTTGTAAACACGAATGCCCTCCAGTGTCTGCTCAGACATTCTACAGTTAGAAAATGGCTGAAAGTTGCGGGTTTTAATCTTAACCACCACAGGTGTATCTGACAACCCTCTTGATATATCATCAAAGCTGAAACTAAAATCGGCTTCAAAGAGGTTATCATATATTTGCCTTTTCCACGTGCTGAAATAGATCCACCGCCAACCTCATTCCATTTTAAGTCGGGAGGAATAACCACAGGCCAATATTACATCCCTTGATGTTATGCGACCTTCATTAATGAGGCAGTTATCCTGAATAAAACATACGATAATCCGCTGAGATATTTAAATCATTGCATATAAACGCAATCCATTCGCTTGTCACTGTAAATAAAGACATGGAAATGTTTACAGAAATGCATTGTTTCAACATAATCAAACAAATATAAACAAGGATGGCATATGAAACACCCCCTTGAACAGGTACAAAAATAACTAAGATCTCCCACTGAACGCGTGTGAAACGGCCCCTGCAGAGCGATATGCGGGTGTTTATCTTTTTGTCCCGAACGTTTATAAATATCGTAGGCTGGCGATTAAACCCGTGGCGGAGGGAGGCACGAGTATCGCACCAACAGCTCGCGGAAGTTAACGTTTGCTTGTGGCTGGGAGCATGCACGCGTGGGTGTTTGCACTGGCCGGGAATGGGTGCTTGCAACAGGGAGGGCGGGGCGAAGTAGGAATGGGGTGTTGCCGGTGCACGCCAAGTTTGGCAAATGGTCGACAGTGGTGTGCTTATCTGCAGCGAGGGTTATCCCATCGTGTGTGTGTGTGTGTGTGTGTGTGTGTGTGTGTGTGTGTGTGTGTGTGTGTGTGTGTGTGTGTGTGTGTGTGTGTGTGTGTGTGTGTGTGTGTGTGTGTGCATGTGTGTGTGTGCATGTGTGTGTGTGCATGTGTGTGGTGTGTGTGCGTGTATGTGTGTGTGCGTGTATGTGTGTGTGCGTGTATGTGTGTGTGCGTGTATGTGTGTGTGCGTGTATGTGTGTGTGCGTGTGTGTGTGTGCGTGTGTGTGTGTGTGTGTGTGTGTGGTGAGTGTGCGTGTATGTGTGTGTGTGTGTGCGTGTATGTGTGCGTGTGCGTGTGTGTGTGTGTGTGTGTGTGTGTGTGTGTGTGTGTGTGTGTGTGTGTGTGTGTGTGTGTGTGTGTGTGTGTGTGTGTGTGTGTGTGTGTGTGTGTGTGTGTGTGTGTGTGTGTGTGTGTGTGTGTGTGTGTGTGTGTGTGTGTGTGTGTGTGTGTGTGTGTGTGTGTGTGTGTGTGTGTGTGTGTGTGTGTGTGTGTGTGTGTGTACATATATATATATATATATATATATATATATATATATATAAGAGAGAGAGAGAGAGAGAGAGAGAGAGAGAGAGAGAGAGAGAGAGAGAGAGAGAGAGAGAGAGAGAGAGAGAGAGAGAGAGAGAGAGAGAGAGAGTACGCGTAAGTCAACAGGATTAATTGGCTTACGCGGGATTAGCAATATTTGCAGATGACTACAGTGGGCATTTGTGTTCTAATTAGTCAATCACAATCGCACGCTAGCCCCGGGCACGCTATCGATCACAAGATATATAGATATGCATTTGGAAATGAAAAAAAAAAAATGAATTGCGGATGCGGCATCGTAGGTGTTACTGATTCGGAATAAGCAATAAAACAAATAAACAAAATATATTTATGCTTTAGACGCGTTTTATATCCAACAGGGATATTAATAAAATAAAACGTCGATTGAAATCTGACATCAAGACAAAATAAAGCATTAATAAACGCCAAATAAAAAGCACTGAGAAACACCAAAATCACATATATAACGCCTAAAATAAAATGAACTGAGAACAACCAAAATGACATAAACCGCCCCTTAATTATAAATAAAACACTCTCACAACACACCTCTACAACTAAGACCACTAACCCTGTCCACACAAACAAAACTAAGACTATAGAACGTAAAGACACCCCGGAACACAACTAGCCAAGACCCCACACCCACGGCACCACCGTACCAAAGGGGCGACAAAAACCTCACGGCCGAAACATGAGAATGACTTCAACCCTTCACTTAAAATAACGAAGTTCAGATGCAACACTTTACCTTCCAAGATTACTAAAATATCACAGAGCAAGCATTAATTATTTTTAGCCACCCATATTCACCATCTGTTGGTTGTCCCAATCTAAACACACCTGAGTACAACGACGCCAAGTCTTGGCGCTAGACCATCAGGACCACGATAGACGCCTTTCTGCCCGCACCGGCCTAAGAGTCTTCGTTGACTGGCAGGCGAAGGGCCGCCAACACCTCCTATCCACAGGCCTGACTAATGCATTCGCGCGAAATACTTACCGACACTTCATACATCTAAATACACACCAGGCTAAACCACCAATCACAACTAAAATGACCCAATCAATCCGATACTGCGGGAAAACAGTAAACCATCCTCACCAGTGTTACCCAGCACTTATGACCAGAATCAAACCAGTACGCTACATGCCGATTTAAACGTATGCCTAAAACAGATAGACTATCATAAAAAACCATGTTTCCACGATATTACAGTTTTAACTGCCTAAATGAACAAGGATTCCACTATTCAGCCGGGCAAGATAAACGGACAACGTCCCGAATGGACACTACAGGCTAATGACGGGTCTCCGGCTTGCCGTCGCTATATATACAAATACATACCATACAACTATAACATACATCAACTACCCATACAAACATTACAAACAAACACACACACACTATAACACTATTATATAGAGAGCCAGAGAAGAAAGAGACCACAAGACTATAGAATAGACATAACGAAACACCCTAAATACCGATATACTAAGCCTGATATTGTTATATGAACCTACCTATCCTACACACAAACTTAACAAATAAACAAATTAAATTCAATAAGCACCACCATATACATAACTCTAACTCGTAGCCATCACATATACAACCTAGTATATCACCCGCTAACTATGTAACACATCATACACCATACGACCGTGATAACGTGCCATCCCACTAAAAAATAAACCAAATTAAAAGTAACAGCAACCGAATACGGTGATAAAATAACACAATATACATGCACCAACGCACCCTGCTAACACACACACGCCACACACACACAACACACAACACAGCAGCAACAAGCACACGAGCAGTGAACAGCAGCACACACACGGAGCACACGCAACACACAGCACACACACACTCATCTCACTCACTCACTCACTCACACCACACACACCACAACACCACATCGTAGCCTCGACACACACACAACACACACCCACCATGTCCGATCACAGCCAACATCAGCGCTCACCGAGCATCAGCTGCGCACTACATGAGGTGTTTATGTATTGTCTATATGTATACAACATGGTAATACATTAAAGTATGCATTATATATGAAATAAAAATATAACATGATACAAATATCATGCAGCGAATAAATATACTGATAATTAGATATACGTGCCGTGGTAATAAACAGAATACATAGTATATACAGGGTACATAGCTATATTATATAATACTGATAGTAAAACTAAATATATATAGTAGTTACTATATAACCTACAATATACCATATCTGTTACCGGGCTATTATTAACACATACATACAAGTATTATATATATATATATTAAGTAGCAAATTATATACTAGTAATTGACATACAGATTATTAGTTAATAGTTATCATTATTAACTCGTGATAATACATAATTACTTATTAGGTGAGCAAGGAATATGAGGGTACCTAAGCCTATATGGTACTGTAGGTGTATACCTGACTCTTGTAAATAACTTATATCCACCATATAATTTATATGTAACATATCCTTTATATTTTGATGTAGTATCAATACACCATCTACCCTTATAACCCACTGCACCGTACTCTCACTAGATCCTTAGGAGTTCTACATATATAATAGTATGATGCCTATATAGTGAGTAGCAATAAATAATAACATTAGGACTAGTACTACCTATAAGTATCACAACCGGTACGCCATATGTGAGTAGTATAGATATATATTCATATGTTATCAGTTATATTGGTCCATTCACTAATTCTATGTCGTTTAAATAAATTATTGACGTCATTGTTATTATTAGAGTATCTAAGTGATTATCATCATGTTTATTGATACAATTATATTCATAAATATAAACATCACCTCACTCATGCAATAAACATAGTAGTCTCTTTTCCCTATCAAATTGGTATTCCTAGTAATATTATAAGCAATTTATATCACTCTTACCTTTATAAATAGTTATTTAATAAATACATTTGGATAGTAGTGATAAATATTATATCCACTAGTATCTCTATACTAATAATAAACGTTATGACTTATATTATTATGATTATATAATGAATTCTACTATTGAGTACAATATCCTAGTCCATGAGAGGTATGATAATTATATGCAATGCAATATAGGATAATAAGAAGTATACTAGTGAGTATAGGATTATCTGACTAGTCGTTACGTATCCCTTAATAATAATACGTGTGATGTAATGAGTGTGTGTGTGTTGTGTGTGTATATGTTATGTATTATAGTATATTGTATACTAGTACATATGGTATGTTAGTATTTATGGCCGTATGCTATATATGTTAGTATATTATGAGTGATGGTGTGGGTGAGTATGTATGAGTATGGTAGGTGTGTGTGGGTTGACTATAAAAATATGTAGTGTTGTGTGTGTGTGTGTGTATGTATAGTATAGAATCGATCACACACACACACACATCGAGCGAGTTGCGATGTGTGTGTCGCGATTGTAGCACGACTATCATGCGCAGCGTGATCACACAAGCAGTCACACACACACACCACCCACACACACACAACCGCGAGCACTACAGTCTTCCGACAATCGACATCAAACTAATCATGTATATAATATAAAATATCATATATACAACTATT